ATATATATATATAGTGTGTGTGTGCGCGCGCGCGTGTGGGTGTTAGATTAAAAGAAAAATAAATCGCTGAAGCAGAGACTTCGCTTCAACAAAACTATTTGGACAGCCGCCGGGGCAACATGGTAAGGGATCGTTTGATCTCCGAAAAGAACATTCAATGTCCCCTCAGTCGATGAGCTAGAAACCTCCATAGTTAAACGAAATGGTTCGCAGGGGAAAGAACACTGCTTTAGAGCAAACGTCCGCTGATTATTTAACCTCACGCAAAGGGAAATTGATGCCGAAAAATTGCAAAAATGCTATTTCTGAAGAAAAAAAAAAAAAACAACAGTGAGTGATGTAATCACTTACATCAAGGTACATCAATGAAGACTGGAATGAACTGCAACCCGGAGGACGACGCTCGAAGACATTTTCTTTTAGAGATGAGAACCCCATTGTGAGAATGTCGAAGTATACTCGTATTAGTGCAACACAAATTACTGCACAGTTAGAAATTAGCCTTGGCAAGAAAGTAAATCTTAAAACCGTGCGAAGGGTGCTAAGGAGGTCAAATTGCCATAGACGTATTACCGAAAGAAGCTATTTATTAGTAAAGCGAAGCAAAGGAAAAGGCAGGAGTTTGCTAAAGAACACTCAGGACAAAGATGAAAGCTGGTGGAATAGAGTAATCTTCGCTGACCAATCAGAATTTATTACTTGTGGTTCGGATGGAAGAATTCGGGTGTGAAGGAGACCAAACGCAAGAACATGCAAGAAAACGTGAAGCAGTGAGGAGGAAATGGTGTGGGGGCTACATGTCAGCCAATGGTGTCGGTAAAATTGTGTTCATAGAGCAAATGATGAACAGGTTCAACTATCTTGACATTCTTAGACAAAATTTAACACAAAGTGCTGAAAATCTTGGTATTCTAGATAGATTTCATTTTTATTAAGATAATGATCTCTAGCACAAATCGGAGGGTGTTCAACTTGGGCTGCTGTACACCTGCCCAAAGGTAGGTCGTCCACCCTGCCAGTGTTATAGAATATCTTTGTGAAAAATTGGAAAGATAAGAAAATACCCATTTCTCCCAGACAAGAATTAACGCAAATAATGCAAAATGGAGAAACAGTCCTCCTCCTTGCATCTAAAAACTTGAAAAAAGTATACCAAATAGACCAAAGGTTGGCGGGTTCAAACCCGATCGAATCCGTGGATTTTTAAGGGCGAAAAAATCCTTCGTGCGCCTTCCTTCGGAGGGGAAGTAAAGCTTGCTGGCCCATGTTAGTAGATTTACTTGCATGTGAAAGATCTTCAAGCCTAAATGACGCCTCTGAGCGAGAAATTGAAATCACCTGTTTCTCGCCCAAGATATACCTCCTTTCTCTGCTAGTTGGTGAAAGGAGCGTAGCGAAATTTGCGTGGTCAGACGGAAGAGCAGGCCTCATGGCCTGAGTCGCCACGTAAAATAAGGCATTAATTCAATTTAAAGGAAGTGCTACAGCGATAAGGAATGGCTGTATGAGATTTTGAACTCCCTTACTGTGTCATTTTTTACACGTTTTTTAACATTATTAACTCGGCATAATTGTTTATATTTACACATTCAAGTATCCGAATAGTTTTGTGAGGTAAATTCAGCATAAAAAATTCAAATTTAGAAATATCAGTTGATTGTTGTAATTTTAAAGAAACATTTGTAAATATGTTATAACTATTTATGAAAGTGATCGCATAATATATTTCAATACATTTATTTCCTCCTTTTAGTATTCCTAATCTATGATTATTCTGCTAAATTTCCCGTGCCCGAATAGTTTTGTGAGTCATTGCAACTGTTCGGGAGATCCTCTCTTTTCATATTGGATTTTAGTAAAAATATCGATATCGATTACAAAAAATATAAGGAGATATAATATATCCTCATCACCGCACTACATAACACCAAAATCAGCGACGTCTGTTGTATTTTTCAAAAAATTCAATTTCGCGGGCCTGTGTCACTCATTAGTACATAATGTTTGAGTCTGTTGACAGCATATTGTAATGTAACAAAATGTAAAGAAAAATGTGAACAAAAAGTTGTCAATTAGAAAAAAAACCGAAAACGTAAGTCAAGTCCAGGGAGTGTAAATTGTCAGAATCTCAGTTGTCTTTGTAAAGTGATGGATTTAGATTTATTTAGTTAAAGTGACGTATGGGGGATGAGATCAACTGCGCAAGTTTTGAGTTCCATAACCACTTCCCATCATAACTATAAATAGTTAAAATATGAGTAAAAGTTAAAGATAAATAAAAATTAAATTTAAAAAAGATCGACTTAGCAATATTTGTAAAAACTTGGCAGTTTCGTTCCCGGGTTATAGAAAACTTATTTGAAACGGTAAACGAATTGCAGATATAATTTTTCTGCATTGCTAACAAAATAGTAACTCGCCCTTACCTCTACTTCTGCCACTACAAGCAAAAGTAGAGTTCAACAAAACGTGCACATAGTGAAGCGAAGTACATTTACGCCCAGAAGCAAAACAAGGGGACATCTCAGCATTTGTTCAATGGATTAGGGACACTGCACAAAGATCTGATCAAAAGGGAGGAGGGTCATTAACCCGGAAGCTGAAGTACATTATTTGTCGCAAGTATTTTAAGTATTTTTTTAAATTATACAATACAAATGTAAACTAATTCAAGGCCCAACAAGCGTGTCTTACCACGAGATCAAGCCGAAAAAGCGGATCCCCATCCCCACGCTAATCTCCAGAGTAGAATATGACAGGGCCTCGGAAGAAAACGTGCAACGTGGACAGATGTGGCCGATAAGCAAATAATAATAATAATAATAATAATAATAATAATAATAATAATAATAATAATAATTGCAAAAAACTTCGTGGCCGTGACTTCTAGGAATGTGGTTAATCAAAACTACATAAAATGTCTTAGGCTGAAGTCCGATATGTGTTTAATATTAAGAGTAGACACACAATCGCCAGGTGGTGCAGAACTGTATGACTGACGATGTGTCCATTCCGTACGTAATTTTGCCAGAAGCCACAGGGTGCTGTCTGAAGTGATTTTTAGGATAGTCCCTAGGTGTGAGGTGTTTTGGATGTTGGCAAGAATAATTTTGGCAAAAAAATGCTTTGAAAAATATGCTGTCAACAGACTCTAGTGCAAACATTATGTACTAATGAGTGTACTATGTACATTTTGTTTAGCTTCACCACCCTTCTTATTTGTCTTGCCTTCTTATTACCTTGTCAGTATATTTTTGAGAAACTGTAGATGAGATAACAAAAGGAATGTGATCTTTTCTTCTTTGGTCCTCTTGTACTACACATACTTTTGGCCAACAAAATCCTTTGAAAGGCGATGAGTTCCTTCAATTCCCTGGCTGCTTCCTCTTGCTCCTTGGCTGGGTTGTTGTATATTGTACTATTCTGCGGACTGTCAGTTTAACTAACACATTCATCTGTGTTATCTTCAGCTGTTCCTGCTTTTGAAGAAATAACCTTCTTGTAGAAATCGAAGAGATGATTCATTTGCTGATCCGGCTCCCTCGTCAGTTGTTTCAATGCATTTCATAATATTGCTAATTTCTCTGCGTCCAAGAGCGATTCAATGAACAGTACATGTTTGATCCGTTAACTGTTCGTCTGTATGTGTTGTATCCTTCGAAACTGCTTGAATTTTGTCCCATTGATGCAATCCTGTTATGTACAACGTATAAATCAATATCATTCCTTTTCCATAAATGGAAGAAGTCCGCATGCTCCGAAACCATTGGCAATTCTGGCTTTTAAATTGAAACTGTTTAAGACCTTCGGTAAAATTAACCCTGAGTGCTCTTCCTTCAAGGTGATAAGTTTCGTTTCGGTTTTTCAAGTGTCTATTGACGGTCTTCATGTAGCTTTCAATGAACGAAACATTGACACATCCATTGGTTGTACTGTGTGTTCCATTAGGATCCAAATCAATTCTGAGAACCATTCACTTATTCGCAGATTTCTGATACATGGAATGTAAGATGTGACACGACCAAGAACAAAACAGCATCACAGGACGTGCAAAATATTTTAATCTAACCAAGGTTTGAATATGTTTGCTATGCATTATTAGACTCCGACGCATCCATCCGGATTTCGAACGCCCTATTCCCCATCCTTCCGGAATACAGTAGAACCCCGGTATTCCTAACTAATTGAGGGTGTTGTCTATTCGGATTCGGAAATGTTCGTATTACCTGGAAAAATGTACCGTACATATATGCAAATACATCTATAGGATTGCCAGACAATGCAACGTAGCGTGCGATGTGAGAAAAATAGCAACATAGCGACAGCGTCATCACATCGCATCATCAAGCAGATTCAGCTCCTTACGGCAAACGAAGATTACCGATTTTGCAAGTTTTAAGTGAAAATGTCTGCTACATAAACATGTCATATACACCGTAGTTACCAGTGCAATACACGTTTCATTTCGACAAAATTGTTCCAATAATTAGTTGTTTACAATAATTATAATAGCCTTTCTTTACATTACAAATAATTCTAATAAATACATTTTATTTATTTAGTTTATTTTCCATCCCGAATTTTGAGACGATTATCCGAATTTTTGGATTTGTGGGGTTCTACTGTACTTAAAACTACGTACGATGATAAAGTTGCACACTTGAATATCATCATTGGTGGAGAAACATTCCTGCAGCATTAGCTAACAAGAGGACTGTCGGACATTCTTTCGCATCATTTCCAAGCTGGTACACATTTCTATGACATTTCTGTGTTAAGACTTTACCTCCACTTTGATTTAGGGGGAAAACAGACTCAATGGCATTGGAAACCTACTAGGATCTCTCATAACGTCTGTCAAATTGTAGTCTTCAATATAACTTTCTGTCATCAAGCCATGAAATCAGTTTCACCATAGTAACAGCAGCCCTCGGAACTGTTAGTGTTGGTGGAATTCTTTCACTTATTTAGGGGGACGATGAAGAAAAAGCTGTACTCACTTTTTCCCTCGTTTGTCTTTGAAAGGTGTCTTCATTTTAAGATCTGTAACGAGATTCTTGACACTTTCAACGAGCTACTGGCGACTAATTACAAATTCTCTCTTCTGACTTTCTATAATCCAGTGAACTATAAGGTAGTCTTGTGTTTGTGAAATATAGGATGGTGATCTCTTTTTCCGTGCAACAGGATATTTACCACTGCTTATACATGAATGTAGTTTTGGGTACTTTGAATCTTTCCTTGCGTCATTTACATGCATGCCATTTTTCTCTGCCTGTAGCGTATCTTACACTTGCGTTGCCTCAGATCAGTATTTTGTTTCCATACGTCGTCTTACCCACTGCAAATATGTTCAATAAAGGGGTACACAATCTGAAACAAAGAAAGTAACATAGTACCAGACTAAAATCTCAAAACCCCAATAGCTGACATGCATGACGTCCAGTAGCTGAATGGTCTGTCAGCTTACTGGATCCAATTGGTATTCAAGGCGGGAAAAACATCACAATTACACAGGATCGTATAACGACGAACGTAAATTTGATTTCCACATTGGCCATTACTAGCTAACATCACATGTCAGGTATCAGCGCAAGATCTTTACTTTACAACCCTGTACTGGCACTTCTCTCAATTCAACACTTTTTTATGATTAATATAATACTTAAATTACAATAGTTTTACACGCGACACTTTACAATTACGTAAGTTGTGTTAGTCATATACTGAACTCATGACTAACTCGAACACTGCCTGCACTTCTCGCAGCTTGTGCACAAGATAAAAACACGGCGCACTCCCAAACATTCAGCAGCCAATCTATTAACTCGTATGTCAACCTTTCGATATATACCATCTTTCCGAATACTTCCTTCCACACCTATAATTGCGCCAATGGGTGATATGAATAAAAATTAGAGCTTCAAAACAATTGCTCATTATTATAAGTACGAACTACCACTTCTCATAAGCAATTGCTTCTTTTCATATGAATAAAATGTTTTGTGAAACATGGAGCATTTACTTCTCTGAGTAATTTCTCACTAACTGATCTGTTGCGATTGGTTGATTCTCGTGTTTGTCTACGTTACCGCGGGACGCGAGTTTGTTCCTGACAGTGTCGAACGTGGAAGGTGAAGTGGTACAATTGACGGACATTGTTGATGAAATCGTTGGAAGTCTTCCATCGTTCATTCACTCACTACTTAAATCCTCACAACCAGTTCAATACAGTACAACCTTTCTCGTAGCCATTCAATACGATTCGAGTCACCTATAAAGGTTGCGCCGAAATTTCAAAGTGAATGCTTCGCTATACAAGCAAATTCTCCATTTCATCCATGCAAAAAGTAAGCAATTGCTCATAGGCAGAGCAGTTACTCGCCGATGGAGAAATTGTTCAATTCTTTATTCATATTTGCAGCAATTGCTTTGAAAACTCGAGAAAGAAGTAATAGCTCATTTTTATTCATATCACCAATCTCAGTCACAGGGTACGTGTCAGCTACTGGTGCTTTCATCTTGGTAATTGACATCCCTCACTCAGATAAGGCTGCAGATTCCATTCCTTGTAAAAAGATGAAAAGCTTGCAGAAAGGGATTTCGTCATTTCCAAACATCTCTGCTACACAGCCAGCAAGGCAATGTCTTTGGGGGTTATCTATTTTCATACCACAGTGCAGGAGAGCATGATTCATGGTAAGATCTGTTTTGCAGTTAATTGTAAGTACGGGGTCGGTCTTGAGTGTACAGATATCCGGGAAAGAAATGGCAGTGACCGATCCGCAGACATGTCAGAATAATGTCGTGTCGAGCACCACGAGATGAAGCCTGAGGTCTTATGGAATCCTTGATTCTCGTAAGCACGAAATCAGATTTCTGCCACTCTGCCATGAACTGAGAATAGAGCGTTTGATAAACAGATTGGTATCATCCGTAGGGATCCTGAGGCTGCCCGTTTTCTTTTTAGTGAGCTTTGCAGCTTGGTCAGCTACTTCGTTTCCTGTTATTTTCCTGTGACCAATGACCCAAAACCAGTTATAACGACGCAGCAATTAATGATGAATTTGGTGTTGGATGTTCATTGTCAAAGGGTCACAAGAAGAGAGGGAAGAAAGTTTTCGAGAGAGCTTTCGGAATCACTGCAGATCACTACTTCCCGTAATCCTGTGTGTCTTTACGAACACTTATTTCACGGCAGTATATACGCTGCAAGAAAAATCTACTCGAGGACTCTACGTGTCCCTATGACATTAGAATGCACAACTTACTTTGTCGTTTTGGGAGGAACCTTCAGTAGATGAAGTTATGACTGGGATACATGAATTTCATCACCTGAGGTTCCGACATAAATGTACTGAGGGGAAGTTCATTTAGGGAGGTTTAACACTAAAGTCTATTATGGGTCGTAGAAATGTTCAAGGTGGAACAAAACTTCGGGGGAGGGGGATCATAGACGGCAAGCATAGCAATTTTACACCAAGCTTCTGCCAAAGCGTATAGAGGCTGGAGGATGGGATAGCGATGTTCTGAGTGCGTACGATATCCGGTGACTTGGGTGAAGGACTGCTTGGCACGAAGGAGTATTTATAGCGGATAATTTCGCGCAATAGGTCTGTCAAATATCTCGCCTTCGTCTCTCCTTGACCTCGGCCAAGGGGCATTCGATGCTACTCGTGCGGTAGGCGCCTGTGCTGATCCGTATACCGGCATTGTGTAGGGCATTCAATGGCCGAAAAGTCGAGGTCGATTGAGACGCAGACCCATACACAACACACCCATAATCCAAAATAGGACGGGAGCATCGTGTATGAACACAAAAATTCTCGGTCTGTACCCCATCAGTTACGAGTCACTGTGCGAAGGAGGTTCAGTGGTGATACACATGGGCTTTTCAACACGAACATGTTCTGACCACGTTAAGCTCCGGCGAACGTCAGGCGTGTTACATATTTGACAAAAGGAAGTAGACTTCCCCAGATAAGTCAGGATTATGAAGGTGAATAATCCTGCGAAGTGCATTTTTCTGGATTTTGAGGTGGAAAACTTGAATCCAGTTTCATTGCTCCATTCTTGAAATTTGTTGAGGACAAGACTTGCTTTCTCTTGGAAGAGCTTAAAATTGCGAAGTCATCAACGAAGAGCGACGCTTCACAGAGGCTTCGAAGTACTGATGCCATACCATTAATGGAAATGGCAAACATTGACACTCAGAATTGATCCCTCGGGGATCCCGTTTTCTAACTGGTGACCGAAGCACAGCCTGTCACCAAGGCGACCGCAGAAGGATCTTGAGGAAAGAAAGGCTACTAAAAACAATGGAAGTCGTCCACTGAACCCCCTAGAATGTAAGGTGCGAAGAATGGCGTACCTCCAGATGGTGTACGCTTTCTCTATATCGAAGAAAATGGCTACCATAAGCTGTAGCACAAACGTGGAAATGTTTGGCAAGGGCGAGTAGCTGGTCCACGGTTGACTTGTGCTTCCTGATCTCTTACCACGTGAGAATCATTCAAATTCCAGGGATTTCACCTGGAGAAAAACACTGCTTCGACTGGCGGAGTGAGCACACCGTTGCCCCATCGTCGCTCCCCCATGGCCGCGCCGCGTTGTGCTGAGCGCACGGCTGTCGGACGAGGCTCCCGATCGCGTCCGCCCGCGACCAGCACAGCTCCACTGTGGATGCGCTGCAACTCGTACGCGCGACGGCAAGAGTAGTTGGAACTTAATTACCGCCACGAAGTTCGGTCCATGCGTCGAAGTGACGACGTACGTCCTGGCGCATCCTTTTGAAAGTACTACTTTGGGGCCTGTATGCAGTAGGCCGCGGTGGAAATGACGGCAGTCATCCTACTGATATCTCTGGCGTCACAAGAGACGTTCATTGAGGAGGCGACGAAAATGCACGGCCAAATCAACTGGTCCCCCATTATCACTCCCCACATGTTAAATCAGCAGATATCGCATTAGTGTTAAGTGCTATGAAAATGTCGGGCCACATACAACAGTTACGCAGTTCGAGATTCCAGAGGATGGCGGTTCTAAGTGCGCTGCAGCGACGGATAGAGACTTCTATTTACATATTACACAAATTAAATCACTGTTCGTGCATCATTGAATTTTTAGAACTTTTGTTTTTTGTAGCGCTTTTTTGTACCTGTCGCACACTATATACCAAAAGTCATTTTTTTAATTCAACCAACCAGCAGCTTCGAAATCACTCCAGTTCACACGGAATCGAAATAAATTCTCTTCAATCTCATTAGAAATATGACACGCAGCATGCAGAATTTGCGTTAGAACTGATTTGACGTGAAGTGGCAATGCTTCTTGAAACGGCTTTATGCGTTGTAACATTTTCATTTATTTGTATTAAAATGATGAATAGTGTTCTAATAAAAAATTCTCCATTTTTATTTCATACAGTTTCTCACTAGGAATATTTTCATTTCAGGTCATTTTTTAGCGCATTCTGATTAACAAATCACAACCAAAGTAATTGGTGTGAAGAAACCTTCAAGCATGCAGTTATTTAAAGAAGCTAGAGCATTCAAATATGAAGCATGCCAGATAATATTTAATTATTGTTTGCAAAGTTGTTAAGGAACATAAAATATCAGAGGCAATGTGGAAATCAAACCATCAACACAAGCCAAAGACTATTCGTTTTTGCAGAATTCATATCCAAATACATGTGTAAATTCTTCTTGTAATTGTGTAATATTGTTTGTTGCTTCCCATAAAGCATTTACATCAAAAACAAGAAAATTTCTTAGAAGAAATTGATTCGTTAGGGTTGCCATCACGTCAGTTTTGAGTAATTTTGATTAGAGGCCGGCTGCCGAGCAAACAAAAGTAATTTGGTATGTCATAATTGTTTATTTTATATTTATGATAATTCAATGTTTTTTATGAATGTGGATTAGGCTTAAATTTTGTATATAAAATATCGTCATTTTGTCAGTTCAAATTTTTCTCAAAATTCAAACTCCTTGCCTCCGGGTCAAAAGAGGCATCAGACATGTCGGCATTAATTGGGTCAACCTCATATACATTCCTTTCACGACGAATGTAATTAACGGAAGTTATCTTTCTCAACTTAGATTCATTAATCACACAAAGTATGTAATTAATAAGAAATAATTTGTTAACATTCATTCTCTGAAGCAGCGAAATTGATATTATGCCCCGATGCAAACTAAGCATTGCGATTGCGTGGCTAATATGCGGGAAGCATATTCGGGACGGGACGGGACGGGACGGACGGGGCGGGACGGGGGCGGGACGGGGCGGGACGGGGCGGGACGGGCGGGAACGGGGCGGGACGGGGCGGGACGGGGCGGGAACGGGGCGGGAACGGGGCGGGACGGGAC